TGCACATGCCCTGTCAGCCGGACTGCTCAATCCCAGCAGCCTCAACAAAGGCATCCACTTTTTGTAGTATTCTGAGGACATAATGGTGATAAAGACGGCAAGAGACTTTTCTGCAGACCTAGAGTCTGCAATACTGACAGCAATGCTTATTTCTCACCCTCAGTTGTCATGTAAAGAGTAAGTAAACTCACCCGTAAGACTTCCAACTCATTTGGTGTAATTTTTGGCCTCATCCCCTCAAACCTAACCTCCAGTGGCTCCTAGAGATGGAAGAAGGTGAAAAAAATAAACGAAAACAATGGATCACAGTTGTCCGCTCTTGTCAAAGAACATAATGCCTCCTAAGTTCCTTGAATACCTATTGTCTGGGTGTCAAATCAAGGCGGTAATGAATGAGAACGAATAACAAGACTTACAATGCTTTGTGGTCGAGGTAGAACGACACCAGTGAAATAACTGTTGGTCAAAAACGTTTTTTGTTGTTGCGGTAGTAAATTTCCTGGAAAAAAGTTAATAAAGGTGAAATAGTAAATTATTCTTAAAACATTAGAATAATGTTGCAGGTAACCGCTCAATCTGGACAATTTTGTGGTCACCATTTCGGTTGAATAGCCGTCTCTCGGCCTTACACCATCACTTGGAGGTGTTGGATGGTTAAAAAACTCTTGAAGGAAAAAGTGCGTCGTAAATCATTGTCAGCCTTGCTTCGCAGTGCGATGAAAGTGGGTGATGCTCGAAAACCGCCATCATTCCAACCTTTCACCACCAGTGAGTTGGACTTCTGCTTGAATCGCCTAATGACCTGCCTCCCTCCAAATTACTACGACGTAGTATGTCAGCATTTTCTGCTACTGAGCATAAAGAGCACCTATTCATAAAATTGTTTTTTTGGAAACAGGGCTTGATGACTAATTAATTAAAGCGTGGCACAGAAACGGCGTCAGAACATGGAAAAAAAAGAGCAGTGGCCAAATTACTGGCGTAGGCTGGAACATTTTAAAGTGGTATTAGAAATGCGTGACCGGCGCTCATTTCTCTTAAGGGTTAGGCTGGCACTGTGACCCAAATCCAGCATAACGTAAACAAATTTGCTGCCTTGGCAACTTCTGGGTCAGTAGTTTGCCCAAATTTGCTCCAAATCTAGAACCATCATTAAGCGGAAGTTAGTAAAACTGAGTAAAAAGTCATGGTTAGAATGCGAATAGGAAGAAAGAACTGCCTTTTAAATGGATACAGACACATGTACTTGCGGCAATTGTTGATTTAACAAAAGAATGTGGTGGTGCTACTGATTTAGAAATTAAGTAACAAGAAATCTCACCAAGATTTTTTGTAATAAGGTAGATTTGATCGAGGTCTGACCGGCCTGGCCACAGGGGCAAACGGGTGAGCATTTCTGCAAAAACGCAGCCCACAGCCCAAATATCCACTGGAGGTCCATAGTGCTTGTCTCCTACCAAAAGCTCCGGAGAACGATACCACCGTGTTGCCACATAATCAGTGTAGGTATCTCCCGCGTCAGCTAGGGAAATAGATCAGCTCGCTTACCAGAGGACCTAAATTACCCTCTTTTTGGCTTAGATCCAGTCAAAAAGATGGCAGTCAGGTTCATTCAATAATAGACAAAATACCTATGAATCTGGCGAATCCAAAGTCGCACAATTTGACTTCGCCCTGTGCATTGATAAGAATGTTCTCCGGTTTTATATCTCTGTGAATACACTAGAAGGTATTTACGATAAAAGAGGAGAGACTTGACAACTCACGTTGGACTGATGACAAAAATTGATACCCAGAAGAATTTGCCAAGTGATCCTCACGATTTTGTCTCTATCAATACCACTAGAAAGCAGAAGCTATTTTATGTGGGGATACTACTGAAATAACACCTAAGTAGAATAGTTACTTCACAGAAAAAAATTGTGTAAAAGAAAAATTTCCTAAGTAAAATAATTTCTTACTTTGGACCATTACTGTCCAGCTCGTGAAGGAGACTGTGATCAATGTACTGGAAGACCAGGTGTAATTTCTTTTTCCTTCGAAATACCTCAATCAAATTCACTAAGTTGGGATGTTTCAACCTCTGTAAATGCAAAGGTAAATTGCAAACTTAAAATGTACACTAAGGAAATTAAGCTGTGTGTGCTACTGATAGGAATGACCTTAAGTGAACGTGGACTTGGCAAACAGTCTTCAGAATTGACGAATCAAATTCGCTTCTCTGGACCTTTTCTGTCTTCGGTGTGAAGGGGGGGGTTTGAATGCACAATTTTACGCTTCTCTTAGCCTCGAACTTATGCCATTTTAGCCCACAGCTTACCACATGCACGCAAAGCAACAACAACCTTAGTGCCTATGAGGCTCTTCACTTCTAGCAAGTGTGATGCGGATGGTGAGCCTTTCATAGGGGAACAAGACCACTTCTATGTAAAAGTAGGAAAGCCACTTCCAACTCCAGGAGAAGGAATAGGCTAACAGACTTATGCATGCTAAACATCTCCTGTACTTCTGACTACCTCCACAACCAGCCGTCACTTTGGCGGCCTTTGGACCTGGACCTTCTACCACCAAATTAAAAATTTCGGGACTTTACAGTATTTGTCAATCCCGCTCCTCCCAAGATCAAAGGAACTTTATTCGCCTCTAAACGATCGGTTTCGCTCTTCACTGCCTATTAATAATCTTGGCACCGATGCTCAATACGACGTAGATGAGTTTGCAAGCAAATATTATACAATTAGGCATTTCTGCCCACCTTAAGCATCTTAATCTCTCGAAGAGCAATCTTCTTCACCAAGGGATCGTCATCCGAAGCATTGAAGCGTTTCACAGCCACCATATCGCCTGTCTGGGTGTCCAGACACTTAAACACCATGCCATAGGCGCCCTCGCCTATCTTGGACAGCTTTTCATACCGACTGAAGAGTAGATGAGTGCTACAATTCAAAGGTAAAAATCATACCGCAACTGATTTTACTACCTTTAGGATTTAATTACCGCCTATTGTAGCCTCCAATGCGGTGTTTTTGTTTGCTGCTACAAATTACCTCATTACAATCCTAAATTCAACACTTAATCCATTCGTGGATCAAAATACCTTACCACATACAAGTAACAGTATCAGTCGTTATGACAACCATATTGCCATGGTTACCTGTGTCATTATCTGATTTCGTTGACAGTATCTACGCCCTAATGTATTAAAGGTTAAAATGACTAATTTACTTGCTAGATCGTTGACCTCTGGATTCGTGACCTTTGCTTTGCCCTTGATTTGGAGGGGAAATATCTGCGCCACAATGCCTTGGTGATGAGGTCTGATGGGGTGATTTCATTTGTGACTCCAATTGTAGTCCGTTATTTGTCACAGCGGTAGGCTCCATTTTTTCAAAGGCCAACTCTGCAAATATGGTGGAAAGAAAGGAGGAAGGGGGAGGAAGAAGAAGAAGAGGTGATCTATCAAATTCTACATTAAATTGCAGTGTATGAGAAATGTGTTTAAATTAAACGAGACTTACGCCTAGAAGGGCAAACAAGGGGTGTCTCTGACGTGTGTTAAATTGGCAATGAAATGTGGGAATTTCCTCCTCTCAATGGCTGACTACTCCAGACCGATCTAGTTAAGGCTCTGCCGAAAGAGAAGATTGGTAAAACATGTTTTGCCCATCGCAATGGCTTCTGTAGCTAACCAATCATCCAAAGGGCGTCGCCTTAATTCCCCTGTAGTCATGACGACTACCTATAGCTGCTGGCCTTATAGAGGTGTTCTCCGTAGGAGGCCTACTGCTCCTGTCTTAACTCCAAGACACCTCTCCTACGTGGTAGTAAACTTCAGTCTTAAAAACCTTCTCAAATCACGATGGATGATCTCGTGTCCTTGCCTCATGCTATGTTTAAAAAGACGGAATCAGTTAACCTTCCCCTACCATTTATTCGAATGACTTCTGTAGCCGCCAATGCATAGAAAAAAGTGACAAATAAATTCTGGATTGTTGAATTGTCTTAGTTGCGAAAGGCTGTAACCAAATATGACCAATAAATAATGATAAAAATTATTAGGATTCTGCCTTTTCGTTTCAAATGATTTGTCCTTGACTCTTATAAATCATTAGAAGTTTATATTTATTGAACTTAGAGTTGAACGGATCTGCAAAAATGTGCCGAGCTATAACAAATCATTACTGCCAAAATGTTCGACACATGGGCACCAGCGCCTTCATGCACAATTAGGACGTGACGTGACAACTTTTATTAAAAAGCAACCTCTGTAGAGACCTAATTGTCAATCAAGGTGCTCAAAGTAAAAAAAAATGGTGCAGCGAATCTTAAACTCATCTATCTGTCATAAATACATGGTGGTGTCTTGCGGCCCCTTCATGCCTTAGAGTATATCATATGAGTTTTTCTCAATAAAACGTTGTACTTTATTTTTATAAGTAAAAGGATTAAATCATTAATTTTGGCATCAAAAGTTCGTCCATTTGGAGGCCCTTTGAATTGCAACATGAAATTGTGCCTCCTTCATTGCCAAGGCTGATCTTTTAAACAGAGAACTAATTTTGGTTCACAATTGACGCACAAATCAGCCTATTACCGTACGTAAGCATGCTATAACAATAACGTTAGGAGGAATGTACTTGCAAAGTCATACAATTGAGGTGAGCTCCTCGTACTAATTAAAAAAAATAGTATATCAAGTACGTTAAATTTGGCAGAATCTTTGTTTCGTGCAGGCCTCAAAATTAACGTGAATTTTTAAGCACAACAGAAGGTGGAGTATCAGATGCGTGAATTCTTTGCCATTGGTCCATGTTTGTACAAACTATTGCCAAAAGACAAAATAACTTTCATTCGCCCTGATGGTCAAGCTGAAAGTGCTGCCTTAAAGTCTACCACTGTCAAAACAACTGTTTGCGTCCAAGTTAATGTGCCTCCCCCAGCAGCATTGTTTTTTACACCAGTTTCTAGAAGAATGACGAAGAACTAAAGTGAATCATTTTAACCCCTGAGGAAAGTCACCGACACACACACACACACAGTGACTTTCGACTGACTTTATCAGATGTTAGTGACTAGGACAATATCATCGCCTAATTACATTTTGGAGGGCTTCACTACAATTAACAACTCTCTCATTCCTTGATCTTCCCGTACTGTGTGTAGCCAAAAGTACTGGCGCCGGTTTTAGAAATCGCCGACAGAGCCTTCATCCTCCGTTCACTTGTAAAAATAAGAGTTACACCATCCAAATTGCCATCACTGGTTGTTTTTCTATAGTCTATTGCCTAACTTTTCGTCAATCGCCCTTAAGATCCTCTCTGATTGAAGAAAATTTATGCAGAAGTTATGCATAGGATTTGAG